CGGCGGCGGCGGCGGCGGCGGCGGAGGAAGCATAAGTAGCAGCAGCAGCTACGAGGCCTTCATGGATGACCAGAACCACAACAATTGGGACACTGCGGCGGGAGGGCGAGGCGGAGGCTACGGACAGCCGCCCCCGTCTCCCTCGCCTTGTCCGGGGGAGTCCCGCAGCGCGTGTGGGCACAGGGTATCGCTTTCGGGCCCGGAGGAGCTTGAGATCCACATGATGTCCGAGGCTGCCAACGGGCCAGGGAAGGGCTGTGAAGCCGCGCCGGGAAAAGGAGGGGCTGCTGCTGCCGCTGCCAGCATCAACCTCAACATCAACCCTTCGGCCTCTAAGTTCTGTGAGTGAGGCCCCGCATCCTTGGTCCGTTCTTCCTGCCTCCAGATCGAGGAAGGTGGGGAAGGGTGCAGTGCACCCTTCCTCCATATTACATTCTTGGTCAGCAACTGGGAAGAGGTGGCAAGCCAAGCATATCTCTTTCCAGTTCAGTTTCTCCTCTTTCATGGGCAGCTATGGCCACCGTTCCACTTTTTGCTGTGTGCCTCTTGTTTGCTTGGCAAGGGGTGGAGAAAACTGATTGATTTGGTGGTGGATTTTGCTCTGAAGTCTACAAGTGCCCATAGTAAGTAGTGGAACATGGAGATTTAGGGCTATTTTGGTCTTGAGGTTCAATCTTGAGATCCAAATTGCTCCTCAAGCTTAGCGGTGAAAGAATTTCTTTTTCGTCCAATACCATTGAGAGGTGATCCACCGTTTTAATGTAGGGTGCTTAAAAACACAAATGTACTGCATAATTTTGAAAGTTCATTATTTGTGTGACATACTAATGATATTAGTGTTTTATGTGTTCTTTAAGATTTGTATCTAGATCAGGGCTGTATATACACAATTTGATTATGGTTTATAAACCAACATTTTTAAACAGATTTTAAATGTTAGTAGAATCTCTGCAGTGAAAAACTTTAAGAGGCTATTAGTCTTTAGATGCTTACATTCTCCTAGAGAAATATGTATCTAAACATTTTGTGATTAACAGTAGAAGGTACATGTTCAGATCTGTAATGACCTCTTTGAAAATATACAGTCTAAAGTGCCATGTATATTTCACCTATGTTTTCAGCCAGTAATTTCAGACACTATTGTGTATGCTTGTTTGTGGTCAGTAGGCATAGGATTGGAATCTTGAGTTAAAATAGATGAATGTTCCATTTGAATCAGAAATAATGCAGGAATATTCTTCTTTTCTCTCAAGTATATAGTATGGCCTTTGCATTTAAATTTATATGTGTTACTAATAATGCTGATGGCATTCTTTTATCATTTATAATATACTTTCTCTTCTAGTAATGAATGTTATAACAATAGAAGATTATAAGAGCACATATTGGCCAAAGTTGGATAGTGCCATAGACCAGCTTTTAACTCAGAGTCCTGGTGACTATATCCCCATTTCCTACGAACAAATATACAGGTAAGGAAATATAAAGGTTGATTCTACAATAACAGATTATTTCAAGTTTGCATTATTTCAGTTGCTTGCAAGGTGCTAATGAAAACTTTTAGTAAATGGGTATAATAATTAAAGGTGCAATGTTAATTCTGGCATTAGATTTCTAAGTATTTGGGCTTTGATTATTTAAAACTAAATAAAAATAAATGTACCAGGTTGACATCTTTCATTTATAGGAATTTACTTGTCTCTATGTTAGAAAATAGTGCTCATAAAAAGTGCTTGCTTGCTTTTCTTTGTAAAATAAAATGTGCAGGGCTCACTTGCATGTTTCCAAACTGTTTAATTGAAGACATTCCTACATATTTAATTTAGGATTTTGAAAAAAGTGCCAGGTCATATTACGATGTACTAAATTTACAATTCTAAATATTTTAGCCTATCCTCTCAAGGCAGTTGACAACAAATAGAAAACCATAATATTAAACAGTACATTATTCAAAGTAAGCAGTGATTTAAAAATACAATTCAGCCAGCACAAAAGAATTGCAAACTATAGTAATAAATCAGCATATAGCATTAAACCCATTTGAAACAGGTGGTTCCTTGTGTCTCTGTGGTCTGTTTGATCTTAAAAGTAAACTAGCAGCAGGTCTCAAATCAATTTCGAGGCCCAGACAGGTTTATATGAGCACAGATATATTTTCAGATTTACTGTTATAAACAAAATCTTGTAAGAATCAATGTGTAGCTGTTTCTCAGCAGTATACTGGAAAGGAAGAACTGTGATACAGATTTTATAGTTTATACCACAATATTCAACTAGCCATCTCTAAGTTTTTGTCCTAGTAATGCATCTTGTTGAATGATTTTGGAAGCATCAAAAGAAATAGGTTCAGTCCTTGATATTCATGTTTAAAAGATAAAACTTTTTCCCCCTTACTCCAGGAACTGGCCTTATTCAGGATCTTTAAAATAGCTATTTAATGTTTAACATTTATAAAATATCTATGCATTACTTGAAAGACCCAGTTGGGTGTGGTGGTTAAGGTACCAGATTAGAAACTGAGGGACTGTGAGTTCTAGTCCTGCCTTAGGCACAAAGCTAGCTCTGTTATCTTGGGCCAGTCATTCTCTCTAAGCACTAGGAAGCAGGCAATGGCAAACCACTTCTGAAATCTTGCCAGGAAAACTTCAGGGACTAGTCTAAACAGTTACCAGGAGTCAACACTAACTCAAAGGCACCCCCTCCCCCAACATGCATTACTTGAACAAAAAATAATAACTTGATCAAGAGAGATGGTGTAATGATATGGGAATGGCCTTGGGATTCTGGGGAAAGAGACACTGCCAAGGAAATGTCAGATAAGAGACAGCATAGCCTGCAGCTGGATAGTAGGCAGGGCAAGAAGCTCAGAAGAGACCCTCCCTAATTTCTCAAGCTGTAAAGAAGACAAGGAAAGAAAGGTACTTTCAGACTTGCAAGATTGATATTCCCAGGTAGACCAGACAGGAAACAGGACCAGATGAGCTAATTCTACTTTATTGTAAGGTTATATTAACAGAATCTCCTGCTGTCTCTTTTACAGCCTGAAAAGTTAGTGAAGTGTGATGGAATGTGAGGGTGGCCTTGGAAGATGGGGGGAAGAGATGCTGCCTAGAGAAGGATCAGATAAAAGAGAAAGGAGTAATGGTCAAAGAAAGAAACTTAGGAAGGACCTGCCTTAACTACTCAGGTGGTAAACAGGGATTTGTGCTTTCAGACTTGCAAGATTCTGTTAATGTAGCCTTACAATAAAGTAGAACTAGTTCATCTAGTCTTATTTCCTGTCTGGTTTACCTGGGAGGGCTGACATCAAACCTGCAAGTCTCATATTCTCTTCTAAAGAGAGGAATGTTGAGAATGGCTTCAAGGAAGCCCACTATCCACGGGACATCTGGCAGCTGCATTGTTGCAGCACCAGCAGCAAGTAGATGCACAGATGACCAATTTACAGAATGCCAAGCTATAACTAATGCAGCAACTGGGGCAGAATTTACCTCAGCCTGCCGCAGCACAACTGATGGTAGCTCAGCCAATGCTCTTGCATTCCCATGACAGCTTGCCAGAGAAATTCAGAGGTGACCAGGATCAATTTTGGACATTCGTCACTCAGTGTGAAATGTTTATGGTAGGCAGACCAGTGGAATTTCCCACTGATTGCACCAAAGTGTCTTTTGTGCTGAGCTTGCTGAAGGAAGCAGCAGCTAAGTGGGCAATACTGTTCATTGAGGGGAACGATCCGCTGCTGGACAACTATCAAGACTTCATGCATAAGCTCAGAGGGCACTTTGGGGATCCCATACAGAGAATCACAGCTAGTTGAGAGATCTGAAAGCTCAAGCAGGGACAGAGAAGAGTAAGGGCATATATTTCGGACTTTAAATTACTTGCTGGCGATGTAGGGTAGAATGACTTAGCCCTAATTGACTAGTTTAGGGAAGGACTGAATGATGAACTAATTCTACTTTATTGTAAAGCTACATTAACAGAATCTTACAAGTCTGAAAGCCTTCCCTATTTACCACCTGAGTAGTTAAGGTGGGTCCTTCCTTTCTTTCTTTGACTGTTACCCTGTTGCAGATCCTAGGTGGCATCTCTTCTGCCTGTCTTCCAAGGCCACCCTCACATTCCGTCACAGGAGGGTCCCTTCTGAACCTCTTTTTCTGGCCATTATGCAGCTGTGGGCTATGCCCTCTCTTACCTGACAATCCTTAGCAGCATCTCTTCGCCCCATCTTTCAAGGTCTTTCTCACATATCATTACATGTTGGCCTTGTGGGGCAAACTGGATAGGAAGCACAACCAGATGAGCTAATTGTTCTTTATTATAAAGCTACATAGACAGAATTTTGCAAGTCTGAAAGTACATTTCTCCCCCCATCTCCTTTATAGGCCGAGAATCTAGGGAGGGTCTCTTCTGAGCCTCTTGCCTCGCCCACTATCCACCTGCAAACTATGCTGTCTCTTATCTGATGTTCCCTTGGCAGCGCCAGTCTCACAATGTCATTCCCGCATACCATTACAGATGATAAATTGAGGAGGCAGGACAATACTTTATGTGGCTGAAGAGATATTTATTTGATGTTTATATTGGTCCCTAATGTTGATTCTGTCATCATGGATGGTTTTTATTGTAAATAGTGCTCTGGCATGATGTCTGTAATGTGTGCAGATTTTGAAATATTCAATTTCCATCATTTGAATCCTAAAAAAAAAGTGTCAGAATACTTTGACAGTAATGCTTATGATAGAAGAGCCCACAAATAGAAGTTGTAATGTATGCAGAATGACATTAGTATTTATTATTTATTGCTGTATTGTGATTAGCATATCCTCACACAGTTGTTACTTATATCTAGTGTTCTGTGGAGCTTACTTCATACAGCCTCACTAATATTCCATGAGTAGGTAACTTCAAGTGAGGACTGTGCTTGTCTTAGCTGCCCAAATTTCACTGCGGTTGGATTAGTTTAAACCTTAGTTCTTTATGTCCAAAGCCAAGATACTTTTTTCTGTTATTTTTGGTATCGATCTAATTTGTAATGTCCCCTTAGCTCTGCATGTATCACGGTTAAGAGAGCAAAACGTGACCTCTTACTTTAAAAAACTATAGTCTGGTTTTGGTATGTATTACATAAATCCAAGATGTGGAATGAACTTGTTGCTGTCTTGCTCAGTTGCTCTGGAAATCCTAGTTTGGAATGTAGAGCTGGATGGATCAGCTCTCTGTGTAAAGGACATACTTTTGTTAATTGTGTCTGCATGATTGAAATGGACTGTCTGATTCCATTACTTCCAGTTGATCTGAATTTGACTAATGCATTGACTGTACTTTAATGTCTAATGCTGCTAATAATGGAGATATAATCTGAGTAGTAAAGAGAACATACATGTTTTCTATTAATGTTAAGATACAGGTATATGCTTTGATTTTAATCAAAGAGTTGCCATCTGTAGTACTTCCTAGTTCAAAATAAAGAACCTGTTTTTAACTGTGATTTTCATGACATTTCAACCAATTCTTAATTCAGGAGATGTAATATGTGTATGTCGTAGAAATCAGTGCTCAAAATAGAACTGGGCACCTTAGGGGATAGAAGTAGGGCAACAGTACTGTACTATACAGTGCAGTTATGGGGTTGTGGCTCCAGAGCTCTATGTTAATAGATAGTTGTATGGTTTACAGCTGTATTCTTGGGAAGGCTTAATTCTCTGTTTTATGTAACAGTTAAAAATATTACTAAGGTTAGATGATATTAATAATATTTTAGGCACATTGAAAGCAATTGAAGTTAACCTAGTTAGAAGTAACTAGTTCTGTTGATTTCAGTGGGATGAAAAGGTGGCTAACTAACCTGAAATCCAGATCTTTGCCTTGTAATGAAATATTGGAAAGGGGTTCCTTTGTTAATGTCAGTTCTATGCCTGAAAAGAAATGCCTAGAATGTTGTGTTGTTGTCATGAATAAATGCATGCTTAAAAATATAAAATTTCAAAATAGCATTAATGATAGAATGAAATTCAAGTACGTTTGGTTAAAACGTGTCTTAATAATATGTTGAAATAACTAAAAAAAAATCTTAGAAATTAGGTACTGCCAGAGTTTAATAGTTGAATCATTATATGTGAGGCAGCCTTGAGCTTTCAGAACTTGTGGAATTATCCAACAAATACAGATCTGCTTCCACAAACCTATTAGATAATGGGGTCTTAGTTTAGAATGCTGATATATTTAAAATAAATTTCTACTGGCTTAATATTGTCAATTCATCACTGTTCCTGTATTTATTTCTGCAGTTGTGTATATAAATGTGTGTGCCAGCAGCATTCGGAACAGATGTATAGTGACCTAATAAAAAAGATAACTAACCACTTAGAGAGAGTCTCAAAGGAGCTGCAGGTAAGAATCTGCACAATTTTATTTTCCTGGGACTTAGCATAGTATCCCAGTAAAATGCCAGTGATCATTTGGAGTTATTGCTGCCATAGTTGTTACCTGTGCAGAACTTGATTGACCTGATTTGTAATGCATTAGTTGTTGAGTAATTCTTTTCTAGGAATCTCAAATATTACTATCCATGTGAGCTCATATATTTCAAAAGAGATCATGATCCCAAAGATGAATTAACATACATGGTGGATTTGCTCTGAGCACATACAGGTGTGAATAAGAAACGTCTCCTTTAGGTTGAATTTGATTCTTAATGACTTCAGGGACATCTCCATGTAATTTTCTTGGCAACAATTAGAACTGGTTTGCCATTGCCTTCTTCTGAGATGCTCTTTCAGCTTCCTGGTCTAGCCTGTAACTATGATATTTCTTGGTGATCTCCCATCTAAGTACTGACCAGGTCTGACTCTGTTCAGTATTTTGAAATCAGCCATAGTGGTGAGCAAAGTTTAGGATAATTGCTCAAATGTATGAAGAAACATGTAGTACTGGATGTGTGCCTGTATGTATCTATTCCTAGCCAGCTTGAATTAGTCTTTAATCTGTTGTAGAACTTTGGGTTGAGACACTGTCAACTTTCATGCAAGGGTATTATTATAAACTGGTTTGTACTTAATTAGGTTTATCAAAATATGCTGATCATTTCTACTCAGATTGTCAGTTTAAAGAAAGAAACCTCCTAGTTTCCAAAACTTAATTTTCTGACCATCTGAAGATACTTGTTTTTTTATCACAGGCAATTTATTTAGAACCTGGTTTTAATACTGACCTACATTTGTTGCTTGTTAAAAATTAGCCTGCATGGCATCAGAAAGTGAGTAATACACTGACAGAACAGGAGTAAAAGTAAATAAATGAGATAGTTTGCTTGTCAGTTTCCAGTTCAGTCTTCAATGTCAGAGAAAAAAAATACAATTTCATATTTGCATCTTGCTGTGCTTTTGTTGTAATCAGGTATTAATATGTATGAGAAATGTAGCTTCATCTTGAAACCCTTGAGATTTGTCAGTAAATGGGACCTTGAGGAAAAGTGTGTTACTTTGGTATGCTGTAGGTTTTCTAATAATGGTAGCTCACTTAATAAATATATAGCTAACTTGATATTGTCACTTTCTTCTTACACTTCTGTATTTAAATGAAATACCAGTGTTATATTTGCACACGGGGACCTCATCCCCCTTTAAGTAGATACAGCATAGCACACAATGTTTTTGGATTAAAAGTTGCACTTCATCTTTGAGCATGTGCCAGGAGCTATGCTTCAAAAAGTACTACAGACTCTTTTTTTTTCTTGCTTTTACTTAAACTTTTTTTTTCATTTATATTATTTTGGATGAAATTAAAAAGAAGTACTAAAAACTAAATTTAATTTTAACTTAGAGCTAATGTTTATTAAAATTAAATATAACTAGTGTTAGTAGTGTAGACAAGACTTCAATTCTAAAACATCCAAAAGCTGAAGTAAACGTTTCAAATTTGAAATCTTTTGCTCATTGCTTGTTAATTTGATTATTCCCAAATGTGCACTTAATATTCTTTTGTAAACTTAAAAATTATAATTTTTGAAAGTCTGTAGGAGCACATTCAGGTTTTGGGGGGGCTGCATGCCACCCTGAGGTTATACATCTCTGACCTGGTGGATTTGTATTTCAGTTGAAATGGCTGTGGCTTATAGTTAGTAGAAAACTGTGCAGCAGCCATTGTTAAAAGCAACAATGCTGGTTGTTGAGGCGAATGGCTAGTTAAGCTCTGGCATTTTCTAGCAGATTATTCTTATAAGGATATTCCCTTTCTTGAGGATAAGCATAATCCTTTCCCAAGCTCCTTTAGTGAGTCTATACTTTGCATGTGATTTGCAAATGCTTTTGCAATAGGTAATTAAGAAACACCTCATTACCATTCTTATATCTTAATTACAACATTGTCAATTAAAATTGTGTACTCTGTTGGTGATCTGCAAGCACATATATTTGTAGTTGCAAAGGAGTTGTTGGACTCTGGTCTGATTAGTAGATTGCTCTTTTATCGTGGTGGAGGAAACATGAAGGATCTTGGTAATGTGCTTCTTGAGGTAAGCTTGTAGCAAGACAGATCATTTCCAGAACAGTGCTTTGAATATAATCCAGCCCTCAAATGGGCCTATTTTGAGGCCAAACCATACCCGGTGACTGAAATACTTCATGTTTTGGAAGATTTACTTCCAGAGGTGAAGCACTTCCAGATCAGTATGTTCCAGGAAAAAAAAAAAAGGAACATCCCTTTGGAATACTGGACTATTCTACATTCATTTGGCAACATAAGGATGCATTCCTTCTTGTTGTGAGGCTGAGCAATGAAATTATCCTTGCGCTACTGGAAATATTGCCTGATTACCCTAGCATCTTAGGGAAAGATTCTTGTCCTGGATCTGTATAATAGGCCAACGCACACATGTCTTCTGAAAAATTGCCATAGGAAAAAGTGCTCTTTATATGTATGTGGGGAGAAGGGACTGTTTCATGAAAATTCCCATCTGCCACAACTCCACTGATGAAATATGCTATCCATTCTTGTTTGTGTAACTTTATACTGGAATATTCACTTAAATGATACAACTTTCATGTTATTAACCAAGCTCATTAGCCCTTAGGTTTTACAAGTGAAACCTTATTAAAGGGTCAAGAAGATGCATACAATGTTTCTTACAAAATAAGGATATACATTTTAATTACTCATTAGGTTAATCCTTAAAAATATAACTACATGATCAGAAAAAAAAGTAAGCATTTTGAAGCTGTTACAGCAAATATTCTCAGTTAAAAAATAACTTAATGGGAAACTTACATGATTGGCTCTGTGTGTGTGTGTGTCATTTTTGAAGATTTATATCAGATTTTTGGGAAGTTCTCTAACTGACTCAATTGGAACACTAAGTACAATATTGTTTTTTATGTGCAGATCCCCAACTACTTACTTTTGAAGAGCTAATCAGCTCTTGTTCGCTGTAGTAGAATAACTTTTTCATTTCAGTATGATCATTCTTCCATTTGAGGGCAGCTGTTAGTTTCCACATTTTTTATTATGCATCTGAATTCATCATGAACTTCTTTGGATGCTCTGTTTTAAAGTGAAAACTGTATTTGGACTCTGATTAGAATATGTAGAAACTAGATAATTATTGTATGGAAAAGACTTCAAATGTGCTAAGTATCAGTTCAGTGATATTTTAGTTGATCCTGTTTTGCACATTTGTATTTTGGTTTGGACTGTTTTTTTGGGGGGGCAGCGTAGATCTTTCCCCAACAATTGCGATACTTGAATTTTGCAAGAACCTGGAGTATAGAGTATAAAGGGAGGAACCAAATGTTTCAGTAGGCTACTGATCAGTATCTAAATGGGATCAGAGTAGTTATTTTACTGTTGTTATATTACATTATTGAAACTATAGCAAGGAGCTGCTGACAAAGGAGGGAAGGCCTAAACAGATCAGGGCTGCATGTATCGGCAGCTGCAACTCTCAGCCCTTTGAGATAGACCAGATCAGGAAATAGATTCCACAGGAAAACTAGAATTATGCTTTACAGTATTGAGATAGGCTATAATAACAGAATCTGGCTAGTTTGATTGTGCTTCTTCCCCTCCCCCCTCCCCCTTATACAGCAGTTAGTCAGGGAAGAGTCATCCTGAGTCTTTTCTTAATACTGTCTCCTTCCACAGGACTTAAGGAATGTCCTTTTTGTTTATGTAATGGTTTCTGAATATTTACTACAAGGCCATCTCTGTAGCTCTCTACACCAACTGATCCAGCTTAGATCTGTGTCAGTGTGGAAGTCAGATGAGAGTTTTGCCTGATCATTGAAGTGACAGGTAAGGTTTGAGGAGCCTTCAACCTCCTGAGCTTTCAGGAGACTGCTAGAATAGGAGGATGAAGGTTTTCTACCCATATGAGAGGCGGTGGTGGGTGTGCTCAGTGTGGAAATGAAAAGGGAAATTTCTATGAGCCAGACTTTCCCATTCTTACCCTTAAAACCCACCAAAGGTCTGAAAAGCTGTGATTTTTGCCTATTGCTGGCAATGGGATTTTAAGAGAGAAGATGGGAATGATTTGTCTTCCAGAGGCCTTCCACTTCCATTCTTATTCTAATTTGTAAAACATCAACATATCAACCTTCTAAAATTTAAACTTTTGCTGTTGCATATTGGCAGTATGATCTTGAGGTACTAGGGTGGGGGGCATATTTGGGACACAGGTTGCCCATGCTGGATTATTGGGATATAATATGGAATCCTTATCAGAACATTTAACCTCTTATTTTAAGTTATTTTGTGGAAGATGAAGATCACTGTACAAAACCTTTTTTTATAGGTTGTGTTGTCCTTGCATAACACTAGGACTTAATCTAACTGGTCATTTCCTAACAAGGTAATAGCTGTCTTTTCATCCTGACAACTCTTAAGTATCCTGAGGAGAGAGATTTAATTGAAGTCCTGAGTCTCTGTACCAGCTCCTGTTTTTTCACACTCAATGTTCCCCCATTGTCCCAAAATGTTTAAGGTGCCTATTTAATAGTTTGACTTTTAATCCAGGGCAGTAGCATTTGATGAAATAGCTTGGTTCAGAATCTAGGTAGATTAAAATATGTTCATTCTCTATTATGCAATTGTGCTGCAGGTGGCAGCAGAATACTTTCCCTGGCAAATTGCTATATTTTTCCAAATATTGAACCATCCAGATTAAAGAATAAAAAACATCTTTTCTGAAAAATTCTTAACTATCCCTATGCATTAAATTATACTGTGTAGATTTACAAATCCCCTAAGGCATACTGTAGTCCCATACTGACATTTTACTTTGTCTATTTCTTTCTTGTCCTTCATTGCCTATATACAGTATATCACAATAAACAGCGGCTAATGCATTCCTTACTCTTTTCTACATTGTGCAATAAATGCAAGATATGTCTAGGTAG